TGTTGATGTCCTGGTAAGAACTCACGAATGTTTATAGAATTCCTCTTACAAGTAAATATTTGAATTTTAATAATTAAAATCGTTAAAATATACATTATTTGAAAAGTATAATTAAATTAATTCTATTTAAATTATTTAATAATTCAGAATAACATGTTGCAAGAAATTGAACCAGTCACGATTTGCTAGATTGAAACTAATGGTTGGTTGACCCAGTTCACATAGTGAGAAAACTGGTTTTTAAATGGACTAGGAACATCTTTTGATTTCTGCTCATAATTAAACCGGTGCAATTGGCAATGTTGATCTAGAATTTTAAAAACATGATTAGATGTAGATATTCATAGTAACTATGTATATATATATATATATATATATATATATATATATATATATAAACAACAGAAACTGGATGAAAGAGAGGATGAAAGAGAAGATGAAAAAAAACATTTTAACCTTTATATTTTTCATCATCATTAATTAACCTTATCCCAACTACTTGGGTCAACATTATGAATCATGATTTTTCATTTGATATTGGTTTATTATTACTTGAGAAGTCAAACATATAATTGAAATTTAATTTCAACTTCCATCTATCTAAATTTAAGTCTACCAATTTTTCTTCTTAATCATCAGAACTAATTTTATCAAATCATTTAATTATTAGGATAATTTTCATCATTTATTATACAATCTCAAATCATATAAATCAATTTTCACTCATTTTTCTTCAATAAATATAACTCAAATATTTTCTTCCTATTATTCAAAATTATTTATAAGTTTATGTTGATGATAAGAAATACAACTTAAAAAGACTATTTTGTATATTAAGTGAGTTTGGAGTTAAAAATTTTGCACTCATTTTTTATATACTCCTAAAGATCATGTGATGCATGATTAGATGACCAACATGAATCAAAGAAGCTCCCAACAATTAGTGCAAATTTCACTTAATCACACAAGTAAAAGTATCATCCCACAAAGATTGAAATTCCCAAGTGCCAAAATTGGAGTGATCATAGCTTGATTTAAATGCTTGAAATCTAAGTAGTGACTTAAAGCTGCAGTGTGAATCAATTGCTACAAAAGAATATATTGTAATCAAATCTTACAATGTACCCTGCAATTCTATCGAGAACATAATATCACTAACAAGTCAATATGCATACCTTCATCTTTATCATAAATTCAATACCAAAAAAGTTTCATTGATTTAACATAAGGGATCCTATTGATTACAAGACTTCACATATATATCTCTGTCATAAGGTTCATTGTGACATTTGATAAGAAAAAAACTGCGAAATGAAAATATTTTGTGATATTTATTTGTATCTTCATGTGTAGCTAATCTCATTATTATGAATTTATAATTATTTAAGAATCATGAATTGTATAAAGTAGTTTGATATTTATAATTTACTTCAATCTATTTTTAATTCCTCCAAGCTTCATTTAGTTTATGTATAGGCCATACATAAATCTAACACCTATTATGATTTAGAGTCTTGACAGAGGAGTAGAAGAATAATTAGAAGTTTTAAAATATAAATCTTTCATAACATAGAAATCTAGTTGTCAGGGTTATGAGATTTTAAGGAGATAGTAAAATTGTAGTTGGGATATCTGATTCTTCAATGAGCTTGACAGAGATTTTACAATAAGTGAATTTTTCTTTTAAGGAGTGCTGATGCTCTTATTCACAATAATAGTAGGTAGAAACCCACTTATGCAAACATGCATTTTTAAATATTATAAGTTTAGAGATTTTACAATTAGTGAATTTATCTTTTACAACTATACTTTTCTTTTTATTTGCTTTTGAATCATCTCGTTAAATAAATGAACTAATTTTATTAAGCAATATTCAAATAATTTAAAAAATTTCTAACTCCCCATGGAAACGATAGCCTTCTCATCACTTTATTACTTGATACAACATGTGCACTTATATTGAACAAATTTACACCTTAGTAAATTAATAATATTTATAGGGCCATGTAGTAATAAATAATGAGTGGAAATCTTATTTGATGTTGAAATTTAAAAGACACTTAAAAAAATTAGAAAAACAAAAATTGCAAAAAGCCTTAAAAATAGTTGAACAAATTCCATAAAATAATCAACTTAAGCCGCTTAGGGAATACACTAACCCTATTATTGAAGACATTCATCAAAGCATAAATAGACCTATCATTCAAGCTAATAATTTTAAACTAAAACCTGCAATAATTCAAATGGTACAAAACTCTTAGTTTGGGGGAACTCCAATAAAAGATCCTAATATGCATATAGTTAATTTTCTTGAAATATGCATGGCCTTTAAATACAATGATATTTCTGATGATACTACTGAACTTAGGTTATTTGCTTTCTAACTTATGGATAAATCTAATATATGGTTAAATTCATTACCCCCATAATCAATTACAACTTGGAATGACATAGACCATAAATTTTTTGTAAAATAATTTACCCCATTTAAAACTGCTAAGCTTAGAAATTATATCACCTAATTTATTCAATTAGATGGTGAATCCATTTATGAGTCGTGGGAGAGATTTAAAGAACTCCTTAAGAAGTTTCCTCACTACTCCCTCCCTAATTGGCTAATCAATCAAACCTTTTATAACGATCTTATAGGTTCTCTTAGATCAATTACTAATGCTGCTACCAGTGATTCTTTGATATCAAAGCTCTTTGATGAGGCATATACTTTAATTGAGGATATGTCTATCAATAATTTTCAATGGTCATATGAATAAGTTAATCCTAAGAATGTAGTTAATATTTATGAATTAGATTCTATCAATTTTAACTGCACAAGTAGCTACCATATAAAAAAAATTAGATAATCTTATAATCAACTCACCCCAAAATTCACCTTTGATTGTAGAATATAATATCTTTGGTTCCTTTTGTGACCAAATATAATAGAAGTATAGTCCATTCACTCTGTCCCTAAGGAACTTTTATTATGTCCGGTGTAAGGACGTAGAGGAACGTCCGGTTGGAGGCAAAATCCCGCCAAAAAACTCGGTATTTGCTTGGTACAACTAGGTATTATTTGATATTAACGAGAAATACCGCTCTTTGAAGACCAATACGGAGTTTTACCGAGCTGTACTGAGAAATACCGAGTTGTACCTAGTTTTTCTAGGAAAAACTAGGTACAAATTTTGTATAACTCGGTATTTTTCGATTTAGCTCGGTATAACTCGGTATTGGGTCTTCAAATGATGGTATTCCTCGTTATTGTTTGGTATTGCTCGGTATTTGCTCGGTACAACTCATTTTTTGGCGGGATTTGGCCTCCGACCGGACGTTCCTCTGCGTCCGGTCGGAGGACGTAATAATTGTTCATCCCTAAGAAAGGAGAATGTGACTGGGTGGAGGATTTGTATTGATTATCAAAAGCTTAATAAAGGCATTTGGAAGGATAATATCCCATTACCCATTATTGACCAAATATTACATAGATTGATGGGCATCCTTTCTACTATTTTTTAGATGTTTGTCCTAGTTACCATAAGATTTGCATTGCTCTAGAAGATTAGGATATGTCAACTTTCACTAGTCCTTATTAAACCTTTGTGTTTAGGTGTATGCCTTTTGGTATGTGCAATGCTCCTACAATATTTTAAGGATGTATATGTAAATATTTTTTTTATTTAATAGAGCAGAGCATTGAGATTTTCATGGATGATTTTTTAGTCTTTGGAATGACATTCAATATCTTCTTTGATCATTTAGAGTTAGTTTTGAAAATATTATAGGAAAAATGTTAGTTCATGGTAAAGGAAGGCAACATCCTCGGACACAAAATCTCCTAGAGGGGTATGGAGATTGATAAGGCAAATATCCAAGTGATTGAGAATTTATTACCTCCTACTTCTAGTAAGGGAGTTCAGAGTTTCTTAGGTTATGCCAAATTTTAGGCATTTCATAAAAGATTTTCAAAAACATACCAAATCACTATGTCATTTTCTTAAAACAGATATACCTTTTGACTTGGATTCTTATTGCTTAACTGCATTTGAGAAGCTTAAAAATTGCTTAGTTATTGTACCATCATCATTTCTCCTCACTAGTCTCTTAATTTTGAATTAATATGTAATGTTAATAACTATGCAATAGGAGTAGTTTTAGGGCAAAGGCTTGATAAGAAATTTCATGCCATTTACTATACTACTAGAGCTCTTTATGATGCTTAGATTAATTGTACACCAACTAAATAAGAGTTATTAGTGATAGTATTTGCCTTTGATAAGATTAGATCTTATTTAATTGGCACCAAAATAATTATTTTCACTGATCATTCTACCATCAAATACAAATTAACCAAGAAAGATGCTAAGCCCATATTAATTAGGTGGATTTTATTGATATAAAAATTTGATGTAAAGATTTTGGATAGAAAATATTATAAAAATTAGGTGGCCGATCATTTGTATATATTAGAGAGGGAAGAGTTTGAAAATAATGGTAATGACATTAATGATTTTTTTCTTGATAAAAACCTATTTTCATTACATTTTTGGAGTATGCATTGGTATGCTGACATTGTTAATTTCATTATTAGTAGGGTTATTCCCCATGACATGCCTTGCACCCAAATGCGTAAATTCATACACGATGCCAAATTATGCCTAGGATGAGCCTTATCTATTTAGGGAATGTAAGGTTCAAATTATTAGGTGGTGTATAGAATCTATCATTAATCAATGTTATGATTCTGCATATGGTGGCATTTTAGTGGGTTTAAATGTCTTTTAAGATCCTTCGATTTAGATTTTATCGGTCTATCCTATTTAAGGATATAAACAATTATGCTAAATGATGGTAGGAATATTTCTAAAAGAAATTAAATGCTCCTTAATTATAAGCGTAAAGTTAAAAAATTTTATGTTTAAGGTTTAGACTTTATAGGTCCTTTTATTCAATCTTTTGGAAGTCAATATATTTTAATAGTTGTTGACCATATATTTAAGTGGATAGAAGCAATTGCAAATCCTAAAACTTATGCTTAGATATTATTTATGTTTCTAAAGAAAATACATATTTCAGATTTGAAGTGGTTAGAGTCATCATAAGTTATGGGGGTAGTCATTTCGTAAAAAAAGAGTTGAAAATCTAATTTCCAAATATTGAATTAAGCATTTGATAATAATTGTTTGTCATCCCAAAACTAGTGGTTAAGTGGAGATTAATAATTAAGATATTAAAAGAATTTTAGAAAAAAAAAACTATTAGTTAAAATAGGAATGACCAGTCCTTGAGATAGGATGATGCACTTTAGGCTTACTTGACTGCTTATAATACTTAAATTGGAATGTCTCAATCCCTATAAATTGATTTTTGGAAAAGCTTGTCATTTTCCTTAGAGTTAGAGTACAAAGCTTTCTGGGTAGTAAAATAATTTAATTATATCCTTAATGATGCTGAAGAAAAAAGTTTGATACAGTTCAATAAATTTAAAAAAGATGACTATGAGAATGCCACATTATATAAAAAAAAGTGGCATGATCTTAAGCTCGATAAAAAATAATTTGAGCTTGGATAGGGAGTCTTGTTGTATAATTCATGATTAAAATTATTTCCTGTGAAGCTTAAGCCTAGGTGGTCAAGCTCATTCACTATTATAAAAGTGTGTCCTTATAGAGTTAATGATATCATGGATTAAAAAACTACCCATAATTTTAAGGTTAACGATCAGAGATTGACACCCTATATATGAGGAGATGTTGATCACCTTAGGAGTTTTGTAGAGCTGACTCATCTTGGATATAAATTTAGAATGGAATGATTGAAGACTATATGCATAGTGTTATTTGGGAGGCAACCTAATTTATCATCTTTATTTGTTATTCATGTTTTATTTCATGCTTAGAAAACCCTTTGGTTAATTTGATCGAAGTTGCATCAATATTATGAGAATTAGTCTTTATGAAGGGTGTTAGGAGTTAATTTGAAAAATTCAACCTTGCACTAGAGTATTATACCCTAAAGAACCACAATGTAGTAGTATTTATTTTAAATTTAATTAAGTTAATCGCACTATAACATTGGAAGAATCCAACATTACAATACTAAATTTCCTTCTGGAGCCCTGTAGAGCCATCCATGCAGTGCTGTGGCATTGAGCTCTCCAGTGATTTTGACTTGATTAAGTGTTAAAGTGCCCCATCTAGCATCATAGATCTTGGTTAAAATATTAATAGGATAGATAAAGCACTATGACAAAGGTTGCTTTGAGCACCACAAATCCACCATGTGTTGAGCACCACGAGGGCTCATGTTCAAAAAGCATGTGATTTTAATTTCCTATATGAGTGCCACAACACTACCTATCCCAAGTGCAGCAACGTTAATACCCGTGCTAACTAGATTGACTTAACACCGCAACACTACACAAGCCAGCATCACAATGCTAATTAGTTTGTTAATAGGATTTGGATTGCTAATTCATTTTTACTTACACTCCAACACTCTTAGAGCCTCCTTGTGTTTGCATTTTAGATCCATAGTTCATTTGATCTTATTAGGATGACCCCAAGGATTTTTGTCAGTAGGAAGAGGTCTGAATTTGCTTCCTATGATGCCTGAAGATTTATTAGTGATAATGCAAAGGAATAATACAATAATTTTGTGGATAACTCCATTATTCTTGAGTAGAGAGTTTTATAATCATGGAGGAATTATTCAAGTCCAAATATTAGAGAAAAACTAAGAATCTTTAGAGGTTCAATCTTGTCCTACAAATGCTTGAATATGGTTCGCAAAAAATTGAGGTGGGAAGAAACCAACCTAATCAGCCCAGCAAGCCCAAGCCTAGAGCCTGTAGGACATTAAGAGATTAGGTGTCTAATCTCGAGCAAGTTATTATTATGCATAGTTAGATGGAGGAGAGTAGATAATGGTACGAGGGAATGAGCAATAGCTTATATGACTGATATTTAGAAATGTTAGTACCAATATACTTTAGAGTTCAATGAAGCATTAGTTAGAATATTTAAAAAATTCTAGCACTTTTAAGGTCCAGACTAGCTAGTTTTTTCTATAGTACCCTGTTTATGAGCTTTACAAGTGGCTCAAGTTAGCACCAGTAGAACCAATAACAATAGTGGAGGAGAAAGGGGAGGATGAGTGAAGGAGAATGAATTTTCCTTTTATTTAGTTATATTTTCTAATATTTTATTTATATTTTAATTTCTCTTTAAATGTATATTGTCTTATGTTTGGTTTATATTAATAAAAGCAGTTGTTATTTCCCAATGCAATAAAAAGGTTATTACTTCCTTTCATAAATCTTAATGCACTCAAGAATATTTCTTATTATATCTTATATTTGTTAAAATGGTACAATTTGTGATTGTTTAAAAAAACAAAAAGAAAAACTTCAAATGATTAATTATGTATAGGATGGAAAATAATAGAAGTTAAATAGCTTGAACAACAACTAATTAATACATTTAATAAAAACTAATGCTTCCTAATAAAGAAAACTCCTAAAAAACATTTAAGCACTTGAGTACTTATTATAAGATTTATTGATTAAATGTTTAGTGAAAATATAAAATTTAGATTAATTCTAAAGTT